CCTGGGTTCCATTCTGAGTTTGGGAAGGAATGTTTTTGCTCAGGTAAAGTTGGAGATGTTGTCAAAAATATACAGTCAAATGAGTTTACAGTTATCCGTTTCTGCGAAGGAAAATTCCAAACTGGCGTTTCTTTTGTTGCTCAGTATATAAATGGTATTACACGGAAGTAAGTTTAGTATTCTGTTTATTACTCTGTAACAGATTGATAGAAACTGCCTACAGTGTGATGATTCAGCTCTCCGCGAGTCAGGCAAGGTCTAATACCATTGTGACATCGGTATTAGCATTGTGACGTCATAACCGTAAACCATTATGACTTCATATGTCAAGCGGTATTACACTAGTGTAATATTGCCGTATAAATATGACACCGCAGTGTTTTCCACTGGTGAGTACTAAACAGATGTATCGGTCTCACACAGTGGTGCATCATGTCTCACAAGACGGAGGTGACTATTACTGTTTCACTCCAACTATCTGTGCAATGGTGTAGGACACAATATAGTATGATGGGAAGGACTTTTTATCAAAATTATTGCAGCTTTGGGGTATCTTTGTCTCACTACTGGCACGACAAATATTGTATATTGCTAAAGCTGAAACTGAAATCCAAACAGTTGCCATCTAGGATATTTGCTTCATCCGGGGAAAAAAATCTAGTGCTGGTAACTCAAGTGTTTCACATCAGAATCTAGTGCTGGCAACTCAAGTGTTTCACAATAGAATCTAGTGCTGGCAACTCAAGTGTTTTACAACATCAGAATCTAGTATTAGCAACTCAAGTGTTCCGCATCAGAATCTAGTGCTAGCAACTCAAGTGTTTCACATCAGAATTTAGTGCTAGCAACACAAGTGTTTCACAACATCAGAATCTAGTATTAGCAACTCAAGTGTTTCACATCAGAATCTAGTGCTAGCAACTCAAGTGTTTCACAATAGAATTTAGTGCTAGCAACTCAAGTGTTTCACAATAGAATCTAGTATTAGCAACTCAAGTGTTTCACATCAGAATCTAGTATTAGCAACTCAAGTGTTTCACATCAGAATCTAGTTCTGGTAACTCAAGTGTTTCGCAACATCAGAATCTAGTGCTAGCAACTCAAGTGTTTCACATCAGAATCTAGTGCTAGCAACTCAAGTCTTTCACATCAGAATCTAGTGCTAGCAACTCAAGTCTTTCACATCAGAATCTAGTGCTCAACTCATTTCTTAAATGTTTTCAATCATAACCCTTATCTTAGAATAACTATTTTTATCCGTCAGAAACCAGTTAAAGGATGGAAATAAAGTATGCATGGTTAGCATAAACATTTCAGTCCTGTTTTTATTTGAATCAATTTTTAAGCAGACATAATCAAAACTATTTGAAATGAAAAGATTTTTTGTGCGATAAAAAACATTAAATCTGCTCTTTCACTTCAAGATACAGGCAGAGCTGTTTGCAGATTTGTAGAAATTAGAGCTTGTTCAAGCATTAAACATCCATCCCAAAATGTTATTTAAAAATAATAACCAGCTATTCATGTATAAATTTGAGATTTATGAGGGAATCAGTTCTCACACTTCAGGTTTTATACTGCTGCTGGGAAATGTCCCTGTAATCTCACAATGACATTGCGTCAGGGTGACGTGCAATATTTCTTTCAATTTCCATCAAATCCTCCTTAATACTCAGATATGATATTCATAGTCACCATTAAATACAACAGAAAGCCTTAAGTAACAAGATGTAGGAGAAAGCCGAGCCTATACTTATACTTTGGTGTTCAAATTGTTTTGCAAAGTGAACATGTCTTACCTTTAATTTTTATAAGCTTTAAATTATGTAAATATGAGAAACTGGATATGCGCAACTATTCAATGAGAAAAAATGTTGTCAGAATAATTTTCATCTGTATTCCCTGCTCTGTTGAAACATGTAATCCAGCAAACATTAACACCTTGGTCTTGATCCCATCATGTCAGTTTCAAACATACTCGGTTGTCACTCAATATGTGTGAAATTTTATACACTTTCAATTAAACTTCATTTTATGTCCACAAAATAAAACATTTCCCCTTCCTTTTAAGACTTTGATCACACATTGACTGTTGACAGATGAAAATTGTAGAACAAAGTTCATTTGGTGATTTTGTTTTCCCACCATTGTAAGATGACTACTCTGTGACTTGCTATTTCAAAGTTTGTAATACAGGCTGTTTTGCTTTATTTGGTGTTCTTGACTCTTGAAGAAGCACAGATGAGCAAACAATCAAACACGAACACAAAACCTGTTTCTATGTTGAACCCTGTTATGTCAAACCCTGATTTGTAGACAAGCAGTCAGGTCCCCACAAGCTCTTTCAACAGTTACTGCCATTGTCACCCAGCTGTATGTTGAATTTCCAGTTGTTTCAAACACAGTTAACAGTCTAAAAATTAACAATAACTTAACACTTATCATGAGCTGTCAAACTCAAAATTTAAAATGAAATTACCAGCTGGTAGAATATATCTGATTTTAATGACATGAATATAGAATATAAATGTTGATGCGCTTCTGTTCCGAGTTCTTGTCTTGTAAGTGTTGTCAACCTTATATACACAATGTGGAGCGTTTGCTGCCCCAAAGGTTTCTGACCAGGTTCAACTATATGGTATCTTGCGTAAGTCCCACAAACCACAACACACCCATACCTTTTATAACAAGGCTATTTTGATCTACAGCAAGTTAAGTCCATAAAAGAAAATACATGGAACAGTGTATATTTCATATGTATGTTAAGTTTAAAAGAGCATTTATGTTCTGAAAAAGATAATCCAAGCAAATAAAAGGGCTTTAACATTACCTCCAAGACAGATCAATTACATGCAAATAAGAAATCCCCTGAGAAACACTTGTGCCTTGTCCACTCGACGTTGTCAGAGAACTATTTATGAATCAATAGCGAATATCACAATGAGAAAAAAACATTCATAAATTATTTGAGCATACTCTGAAAAGAGATCTTTTGTGACTGGGTGGTCTGTGATGACTGTGTATATGACTGAGAGGGTGGTCTGTGATGACTGAGTATATGACTGTGACAGGGTGGTCTGTGATGACTGAGTATATGACTGAGAGGGTGGTCTGTGATGACTGAGTATATGACTGTGACAGGGTGGTCTGTGATGACTAAGTATATGACTGGGACAGGGTGGTCTGTGATGACTGAGTATATGACTGTGACAGGGTGGTCTGTGATGACTAAGTATATGACGGGGACAGGGTGGTCTGTGATGACTGAGTATATGACTGTGACTGGGTGCTCCGTGATGACTGAGTATATGACTGTGGCTGGGTGGTCTGTGATGACTGAGTATATGACTGTGACAGGGTGGTCTGTGATGACTGAGTATATGACTGTAACAGGGTGGTCTGTGATGACTGAGTATATGACTGAAAGAGTGGTCTGTGATGACTAAGTATATGATGGGGACAGGGTGGTCTGTGATGACTGAGTATATGACTGTAACAGGGTGGTCTGTGATGACTGAGTATATGACTGTAACAGGGTGGTCTGTGATGACTGAGTATATGACTGTGACAGGATGGTCTGTGATGACTGAGTATATGACTGACAGGGTGGTCTGTGATGACTGAGTATATGACTGTAACAGGGTGGTCTGTGATGACTGAGTATATGACTGTGACAGGGTGGTCCGTGATGACTGAGTATATGACTGAGAGGGTGGTCTGTGATGACTGAGTATATGACTGTAACAGGGTGGTCTGTGATGACTGAGTATATGACTGTGACAGGGTGGTCTGTGATGACTGAGTATATGACTGTGACAGGGTGGTCTGTGATGACTGAGTATATGACTGTGACAGGGTGGTCTGTGATGACTGAGTATATGACTGAGAGGGTGGTCTGTGATGACTGGGTATATGACTGAGAGGGTGGTCTGTGATGACTGGGTATATGACTGTGACTGGGTGGTCTGTGATGACTGAGTATATGACTGAGAGGGTGGTCTGTGATGACTGAGTATATGACTGAGAGGGTGGTCTGTGATGACTGGGTATATGACTGAGAGGGTGGTCTGTGATGACTGGGTATATGACTGTGACAGGATGGTCTGTGATGACTGAGTATATGACTGTAACAGGGTGGTCTGTGATGACTGAGTATATGACTGTGACAGGGTGGTCTGTGATGACTGAGTATATGACTGTGACAGGGTGGTCTGTGATGACTGAGTATATGACTGTGACAGGGTGGTCTGTGATGACTGAGTATATGACTGAGAGGGTGGTCTGTGATGACTGGGTATATGACTGAGAGGGTGGTCTGTGATGACTGGGTATATGACTGTGACTGGGTGGTCTGTGATGACTGAGTATATGACTGAGAGGGTGGTCTGTGATGACTGAGTATATGACTGAGAGGGTGGTCTGTGATGACTGGGTATATGACTGTGACAGGATGGTCTGTGATGACTGAGTATATGACTGTAACAGGGTGGTCTGTGATGACTGAGTATATGACTGTGACAGGGTGGTCTGTGATGACTGAGTATATGACTGTGACAGGGTGGTCTGTGATGACTGAGTATATGACTGTGACAGGGTGGTCTGTGATGACTGAGTATATGACTGAGAGGGTGGTCTGTGATGACTGGGTATATGACTGAGAGGGTGGTCTGTGATGACTGGGTATATGACTGTGACTGGGTGGTCTGATATTTCTTGTCAATGGTCTTCACTAAAGCAAGATATTGTTTTATCAGATGATTAGAATACTACCCAAAATACCACTGGCCATAAGAATACAAGAAGGCTTATAATAAAAGCTCAGACTGTATTGAGAGTCAGTTGAAACAGAACTATAAGATGCATAATTCCCCATTTTGTTGTATAGTACACTAGGGATACAATGAGTTTATAGTGCAGTATTATATTTCCTTATGGGAGTAAACTGAAACTATATCCAGCTTGTGTTCCAGTGTATTACCTATCTTTGTGTGTTCTACCAGTGTTCTACCGAGTGCGGTCATGGGGAGAGGAGGAGGACTGTGACATGCATGTCTGTGGAAGGGAGAGCAGTAGCAGACCGGCAGTGTGGCATCCTGAAGCCAGACACCACCGAGATCTGTGACATGGGGTCGTGTGCTAGAGGATGGTACCACACTTACTCCACTGCACGAAGTGGTCTGCCCAGGTGAGATCCCAGACACCATAGCTGCCACACATTAGATCTACTGAACCACAATACACCCAGGTGAAATCCCAGACGACATGGCTTCCACACATTACTCCTACTGAACCACAATACACCCAGGTGAGATCCCTGACACCATGGTTTCCAAACATTAGTCCTACTGAACCACAACACACCCAGGTGAGATCCAAGACACCATGGCTTCCACACATTACTCCTACTGAACCACAATACACCCAGGTGAAATCCCTGACACCATGGCTTCTAAACATTACTCCTACTGAACCACAGTACACCCAGGTGAAATCCCAGACGACATGGCTTCCACACATTACTCCTACTGAACCACAATACACCCAGGTGAGATCCCAGACACCATGGCTTCCACACATTACTCCTACTGAACCACAGTACACCCAGGTGAAATCCCTGACACCATGGCTTCCACACATTAGTCCTACTGAACCACAACACACCCAGGTGAGATCCCAGACACCATGGCTTCCAAACACACCATCCATACATGCAGATTGGAAGTATGTTCTAGTTTCCAGGGGGCGGTGGGGTAGCCTAATGGTTAAAGCGTTGGCTCGTCACGCCGAAGACCCGGGTTCATATCCCCACATGGGCACAATGTGTGAAGCCCATTTCTGGTGTCCCCTGCCGTGATGTTGCTGGAATATTGCTAAAAGCGGTGTAAAACCAAAATCAGTCAGTCAGTCAGTCTAGTTTCCAGATATGTAAGATACTTCCTGTGAAGTAAAAGCTTTCCATTTTGTAAATCCAAATGTTTGTTGCATAAGTTTGTTGCGGCAGCATCAACAGATAAGGAAGATAAGGAAGCGTAAGACTTGATGGATAATGCACTTTTAGCTTGATAACAAGAATGCAAGAAACAAGAAGCTGTTATCCATAGAGTCGCATGCTTCATTATTGACTTCAAGACTGACTGACTGAGTTTAGTTTTACGCCGCTTTTAGCAATATTCCAGCAATATCACGACGGGGGACACCAGAAATGGGCTTAACACATTGTGCCCATGTGGGGAATCGAACCCGGGTCTTCGGCGTGACGAGCCAACGCTTTAACCACTAGGCTACCCCACAGCCCCTTGACTTCAAGAATGCTGATAAAACAATCAAAAAGAGAAGACTTTGAACATACAGACCAAGCGACTATGACCTGCATTGCTGGTTAAGATTGTTTTTGCAGTATTTAAAATATTTTTACTTATAATATTAATCATATGATACTAGTATTTAGGTAATTCTTTTTACCAAGTGTATGATGTATTACCTATCAGTAACATGACCTACTACTTCTTCATGCTGACTGAGACAATTAATGTACTTTGAGGAATTGTCCAAGGACACACATTCTTAGGTTATTTCAAGCCATCATCGTTCATCACAGTCCTCATCAGTTATCTAGCATAATGGCTGGACAAGCAGCTTCCACTTGGAGTGAGGGAATGGTTTGTCCTTGAAATAGTGTCTGACATGATGTATCTGTCCATCTCTACAGTAGTCTCACTAACCCATTATCTGTTCTACGTAGGGACCACTCTATGTAGGGATGTTTAGTGAAGAAATTAAATAGTTGTTTACATTGGTTAAATCAAACCCAGCAAGCTGAGGTATTGTCATTGGGTTTTGAGATTTGTGGTCTTAAGATCAGTCATTGTGCTGACATAAGATAGCCTAACAGCCAATAGGTGAGAGTTGAATAGTTAAATTAATTCTGCTCATGTCAAAACGAGGTAATTTATAAAGTCTGACACCTGATAAGTGTACAGATAGTGCTCCAGCAGAAGTTAATATATATCTGTACAACTACCCTAGCAACACAGTAATGGCTCAACCTTGTGTGTATCACAGGAGTTAATATATATCTGAATCAACTACCTTAGCAACACAGTAATGGCTCAACCTTGTGTGTATCACAGGAGTTAATATATATCTGAATCAACTACCCTAGCAACACAGTAATGGCTCAACCTTGTGTGTATCACAGGAGTTAATATATATCTGAATCAACTACCTTAGCAACACAGTAATGGCTCAACCTTGTGTGTATCACAGGAGTAAATATATATCTGAATCAACTACCTTAGCAACACAGTAATGGCTCAACCTTGTGTGTATCACAGGAGTTAATATATATCTGAATCAACTACCTTAGCAACACAGTAATGGCTCAACCTTGTGTGTATCACAGGAGTTAATATATATCTGAATCAACTACCTTAGCAACACAGTAATGGCTCAACCTTGTGTGTATCACAGGAGTTAATATATATCTGAATCAACTACCTTAGCAACACAGTAATGGCTCAACCTTGTGTGTATCACAGGAGTTAATATATATCTGAATCAACTACCTTAGCAACACAGTAATGGCTCAACCTTGTGTGTATCACAGGAGTTAATATATATCTGAATCAACTACCTTAGCAACACAGTAATGGCTCAACCTTGTGTGTATCACAGGAGTTAATATATATCTGAATCAACTACCTTAGCAACACAGTAATGGCTCAACCTTGTGTGTATCACAGGAGTTAATATATATCTGAATCAACTACCCTAGCAACACAGTAATGGCTCAACCTTGTGTGTATCACAGGAGTTAATATATATCTGAATCAACTACCTTAGCAACACAGTAATGGCTCAACCTTGTGTGTGTATCACAGGAGTTAATATATATCTGAATCAACTACCTTAGCAACACAGTAATGGCTCAACCTTGTGTGTATCACAGGAGTTAATATATATCTGAATCAACTACCTTAGCAACACAGTAATGGCTCAACCTGTGTGTGTATCACAGGAGTTAATATATATCTGAATCAACTACCTTAGCAACACAGTAATGGCTCAACCTTGTGTGTATCACAGGAGTTAATATATATCTGAATCAACTACCTTAGCAACACAGTAATGGCTCAACCTTGTGTGTATCACAGGAGTTAATATATATCTGAATCAACTACCCTAGCAACACAGTAATGGCTCAACCTTGTGTGTATCACAGGAGTTAATATATATCTGAATCAACTACCTTAGCAACACAGTAATGGCTCAACCTTGTGTGTATCACAGGAGTTAATATATATCTGAATCAACTACCTTAGCAACACAGTAATGGCTCAACATTGTGTGTATCACAGGAGTTAATATATATCTGAATCAACTACCCTAGCAACACAGTAATGGCTCAACCTTGTGTGTATCACAGGAGTTAATATATATCTGAATCAACTACCCTAGCAACACAGTAATGGCTCAACCTTGTGTGTATCACAGGAGTTAATATATATCTGAATCAACTACCTTAGCAACACAGTAATGGCTCAACCTTGTGTGTATCACAGGAGTTAATATATATCTGAATCAACTACCTTAGCAACACAGTAATGGCTCAACCTTGTGTGTATCACAGGAGTTAATATATATCTGAATCAACTACCCTAGCAACACAGTAATGGCTCAACCTTGTGTGTATCACAGGAGTTAATATATATCTGAATCAACTACCTTAGCAACACAGTAATGGCTCAACCTTGTGTGTATCACAGGAGTTAATATATATCTGAATCAACTATAGCAACACAGTAATGGCTCAACTTGTGTGTATCACAGGAGTTAATATATATCTGAATCAACTACAGTAGCAACACAGTAATGGCTCAACCTTGTGTGTATCACAGGAGTTAATATATATCTGAATCAACTACCTTAGCAACACAGTAATGGCTCAACCTTGTGTGTATCACAGGAGTTAATATATATCTGAATCAACTACCTTAGCAACACAGTAATGGCTCAACCTTGTGTGTATCACAGGAGTTAATATATATCTGAATCAACTACCTTAGCAACACAGTAATGGCTCAACCTTGTGTGTATCACAGGAGTTAATATATATCTGAATCAACTACCTTAGCAACACAGTAATGGCTCAACCTTTGTGTGTATCACAGGAGTTAATATATATCTGAATCAACTACCTTAGCAACACAGTAATGGCTCAACCTTGTGTGTATCACAGGAGTTAATATATATCTGAATCAACTACCTTAGCAACACAGTAATGGCTCAACCTTGTGTGTATCACAGGAGTTAATATATATCTGAATCAACTACCCTAGCAACACAGTAATGGCTCAACCTTGTGTGTATCACAGGAGTTAATATATATCTGAATCAACTACCTTAGCAACACAGTAATGGCTCAACCTTGTGTGTATCACAGGAGTTAATATATATCTGAATCAACTACCTTAGCAACACAGTAATGGCTCAACCTTGTGTGTATCACAGGAGTTAATATATATCTGAATCAACTACCCTAGCAACACAGTAATGGCTCAACCTTGTGTGTATCACAGGAGTTAATATATATCTGAATCAACTACCCTAGCAACACAGTAATGGCTCAACCTTGTGTGTATCACAGGAGTTAATATATATCTGAATCAACTACCTTAGCAACACAGTAATGGCTCAACCTTGTGTGTATCACAGGAGTTAATATATATCTGAATCAACTACCCTAGCAACACAGTAATGGCTCAACCTTGTGTGTATCACAGGAGTTAATATATATCTGAATCAACTACCCTAGCAACACAGTAATGGCTCAACCTTTGTGTGTATCACAGGAGTTAATATATATCTGAATCAACTACCCTAGCAACACAGTAATGGCTCAACCTTGTGTGTATCACAGGAGTTAATATATATCTGAATCAACTACCCTAGCAACACAGTAATGGCTCAACCTTGTGTGTATCACAGGAGTTAATATATATCTGAATCAACTACCCTAGCAACACAGTAATGGCTCAACCTTGTGTGTATCACAGGAGTTAATATATATCTGAATCAACTACCCTAGCAACACAGTAATGGCTCAACCTTGTGTGTATCACAGGAGTTAATATATATCTGAATCAACTACCCTAGCAACACAGTAATGGCTCAACCTTGTGTGTATCACAGGAGTTAATATATATCTGAATCAACTACCTTAGCAACACAGTAATGGCTCAACCTTGTGTGTATCACAGGAGTTAATATATATCTGAATCAACTACCTTAGCAACACAGTAATGGCTCAACCTTGTGTGTATCACAGGAGTTAATATATATCTGAATCAACTACCCTAGCAACACAGTAATGGCTCAACCTTGTGTGTATCACAGGAGTTAATATATATCTGAATCAACTACCTTAGCAACACAGTAATGGCTCAACCTTGTGTGTATCACAGGAGTTAATATATATCTGAATCAACTACCTTAGCAACACAGTAATGGCTCAACCTTGTGTGTATCACAGGAGTTAATATATATCTGAATCAACTACCCTAGCAACACAGTAATGGCTCAACCTTGTGTGTATCACAGGAGTTAATATATATCTGAATCAACTACCCTAGCAACACAGTAATGGCTCAACCTTAATGTGTGTATCACAGGAGTTAATATATATCTGAATCAACTACCTTAGCAACACAGTAATGGCTCAACCTTGTGTGTATCACAGGAGTTAATATATATCTGAATCAACTACCCTAGCAACACAGTAATGGCTCAACCTTGTGTGTATCACAGGAGTTAATATATATCTGAATCAACTACCCTAGCAACACAGTAATGGCTCAACCTTGTGTGTATCACAGGAGTTAATATATATCTGAATCAACTACCCTAGCAACACAGTAATGGCTCAACCTTGTGTGTATCACAGGAGTTAATATATATCTGAATCAACTACCCTAGCAACACAGTAATGGCTCAACCTTGTGTGTATCACAGGAGTTAATATATATCTGAATCAACTACCTTAGCAACACAGTAATGGCTCAACCTTGTGTGTATCACAGGAGTTAATATATATCTGAATCAACTACCCTAGCAACACAGTAATGGCTCAACCTTGTGTGTATCACAGGAGTTAATATATATCTGAATCAACTACCCTAGCAACACAGTAATGGCTCAACCTTGTGTGTATCACAGGAGTTAATATATATCTGAATCAACTACCCTAGCAACACAGTAATGACTCAACCTTGTGTGTATCACAGGAGTTAATATATATCTGAATCAACTACCTTAGCAACACAGTAATGGCTCAACCTTGTGTGTATCACAGGAGTTAATATATATCTGAATCAACTACCTTAGCAACACAGTAATGGCTCAACCTTGTGTGTATCACAGGAGTTAATATATATCTGAATCAACTACCTTAGCAACACAGTAATGGCTCAACCTTGTGTGTATCACAGGAGTTAATATATATCTGAATCAACTACCTTAGCAACACAGTAATGGCTCAACCTTGTGTGTATCACAGGAGTTACTATAGCAACACAGTAATGGCTCAACCTTGTGTGTATCACAGGAGTTAATATAGCAACACAGTAATGGCTCAACCTTGTGTGTATCACATCAACAGTTGTATTCAGTCATATCTACCATAGAATTAAGTGCTTCCATTTCCAATTTGAATGTTTAAATAGTTTCTTTGCCTGAACAAATCCATTACTATTGTTTATCTGTAAGAAAAATCATGAATTTGAAATTATACAGTACTAATTATTGTAATCGTTAGTGATGAGAATAGGTTGCGATAGGAATCCATCTCAAAGTAATCATAAGGCAGATGTAACCTACGGAACAGTCCATCAAAGAAAGGCTTCAGGGCTTGTGTTTTCACGAAGTTCCTGTTGGATATCGAAACGTCACTATTGCTTTGGTTAATCTAAGTACATATGCACACAACATCACACCTCTAAATGGTGACAACTTGAATGATTCTCAATCATATGTATACATATTCTGAAAACTTAAGTATGTAGTATGTGGAAATAATATTGATTATAACAAAATTAATGTGTCTCAACACAGTGAAATACCATCACTTTTGAAAATAGATATATGCTAATGGCGTAAATTTTGTATTAGCGTAAGAGACCTTATGACATCGCAATGTTTGACATTCTACATGCAAATATAAAAAAATATTCTGAGAATTTATTCAATCATCAATCTATGACAAAAAGAAGGCATGTTTGCTGTCATTCTATCCTAGATCAGCACACATGGCAAACACGTGTAATGCATCCTCCAGTTGGGTGCTAACCAGCATCATCAGTGTGTACTCCATTGGAGAATATACCAGTAGGTCCCCATGCTTATTGGATCGGGTGGTCAAGCTGATTGAATGGATGTCATTGCATCAATGTTCCGGATGTCAATCATCACCTGGTTGAGACTTGATTATCTACAGGCTGCTGTATGTCTGGGATACTTCTGTATTCGTTGTTTGAGTTGTCCAATGCCACAGTCTGCAAGATTATATTCTTAGGAATCTGAACGCTTAATGATAAGGAAATTAAATCATCTTTTACTGGAAAAAAAATTCTTTTAGAAATAATCTTGTACCCCATTGCTCTCCCCAGCTAGCCCATCAAATTCAAGTAGACTGCTGAGAGCCTTTCTTCGATCACAGATCAACATTTGTTCAGTTAAGAGTTGAAGCTGCTCAAGCCCAGTGCTATCATGTATCTATCAGACAGGCAGGCCTGCCCTGTTTTACACAGCCAAGGATTTTGCATGCATTATAATATTTGAACAACAGCCATTGAAATAGGAATGTTGGGATCAGTGTTCTTGAGTGTGAGAGTCATAAGGTTATGAGGCAAGCCAAATTATTGTAACAATAAATCTTGGATTTTTATTCCGTGTCACAAAGAATAGAAGTGATAGCATAGGGAACAATGAACAGCTTGTTCTAAGCACATTACACATTCCTATTTACTGTAAACAGATCGTGATGTTTGATTTTTTCCCTGTAAAAAGCAAATATCACTAATCTGCAGCGTATATTTGTAAGTCCATACATAAACAATTGTTAGTACAATTGATGTCTTGGAGTAGGTTTACTGTTGGGATTGTATGTGTTGTTGATGCTGGCCAGTCAAATATGCACTTATGAATGGTTCACCTTTGTTGTTATTACTTTTTCATTAATCATGAGGTATGACGTTATCAAGGGATTTGTGAAATCTTGGCTAAGTATGTGACAACGCGTGTAAAAATGTGGCCTATATCTGGGAACAATGTATCAATGTTCAAGATGTATTCATGTGATTGAAACCCATTTACAGGTTATATATCTTACTTTCTTTCATGTGTATATATCTTACATTATTACTGTGTTTGCTTAACCTGCCACGAACAACACGCACGTCATGAACATGTTGTTTCTGTTTGATACAGTAGATCCGGACAAGCTTGTACCTACAGGGAATATATTCCTGTCATGTCAGCTCACAGTATATTCAGTTCATAAAACTGTCAACATGTCAGCAATATCCCATGTTTTCAGATCAAGTAGACTATTATCATTTATAAACACTATTCAATAGTATTAATTCATCAAGAGTACAACAGTATCTATTTAACAAAGTAAAACTATTTTAATTCAACAAATATATAAAAATATGAATGCAAAAGTACAATTATATCTAAAAAAAAAAAAATTGAATTCAACAAAGTAGAACATATGAATTGAATATTTTACAATTTGAGGAAATAGCAGTCATTATCAGCACTGCGATCTGATATTGTGGACTGGTGTTGATTGTCCTTGAACTGATTTGTAAACGTTACGAGAGCCCATCACATAAGTTACTGTGTTTGTCCAGTGTACAACGGAATGTGGATCCGGACATTACAAGAGGAAGACCTACTGTTCTGCAGACGATGGAAGTTCTCTCCCAGACACTAAGTGTTCCAGACAGAAGAAACCTCGCACCAAGAAGGCCTGTAAAGATAACCCACCTTGTGGTGGCCGATGGTTTGCTGGACCCTGGACTCAGGTCAGTACTCATCTCCTAACTGGTCAGTTTATACTCTCCCCAGGGAGCTGAGAACAGAATTTAAAGTTCACCGATCCTTTGTATATGTCATGTCAGTTGTCTGTTCTTGTGTTGTTAACACCACATTCCAGCTGCATAATGTTATTCTGTAATGACACGTATAGAAGTGGTTTCAACTGACTTAGTGTTGGAAGTAATGTGAAGGCTGTGGAACAGTTCACAGTTTGACACCTGTACCTTGTTGCTGTATTCTGTCTGTGTGCTATGTTTTGAATGTTAAATGTATTGTGATGCATTGTGATTTGCTGCAAGAATAAATTCAACATCCTCTGACAGAAGTTCACTGACATCGTGAGCTGTTCATGGCGCTATCTCAGTCTTTATCTGACAACACCATAGAATAAATACATGTTCTTCCATAAACTCGGAGACTCATCACAAAAGTGTAATGACAGTATGAGTATAATGAATGCATCCATTCACTACACCTGAACAGTGTACAAGCAATTATCACCAGTAATTGCAGGTATTTAAAGGCACCATGCCCATAAACTGTACTACAAGCTCCTTGTCTTCACACCTGAATAGCTGCAGCCGAGAATGGAAGTTGAAAGCTACAAAGACTTAGAAATAGCTGCTTCAACGCAAATTAGAAGATTCACGTCTGTTTAAGCAGCTTGTGTGAAGTTGTTCCAGATTCCTTATGAAATAACTGTAATCAAAAGTTGTTTAAATATTTGTGTTGCACAGAACCCGTTCAAGCTGTGTCTGTGTACTAAATCTTCCCGTTTCAACTTTTTAAGTAAATAGTTGCCTGTCATGTGAAGTGTTATGGAATTTGAAAAATGTTTTAAAAGGAGGCTATGATATAATATGTCGTGGTGCACATTTGTTTGAGTCCTTGTGATGGAAACTTGTTTCCATGTTAGAGATGCTGACTTTCTCATCATTGAAGGAGGAGGCAGTTATCGGGCAAAGTGTACACTCTCGTTAATACAGAGAAAGTTGAGCTGTTAACAGGGGACAGCCTAGACCCCTGAAGATCAGGGTTAGAACTGGTCTTCACAACCCATGCTTGTCGTAAGAGGTGACTAACGGGATCGGGTGGTCAGGCTTGCTGACTTGGTTAACACATGTCATCATATCCCAATTGCATAGATCGATGCTCATGCTGTTGATCACTGGATTGTCTGGTCCAGCCTCGATTATTTATAGACCGTTGACATATAGCTGGAATATTGCTGAGTGTGGCGTTCAGCAACAACCAAACCAAAGGGACAGCCTAGAAAAGCTATCATATTTCTATCTAAGATAACCTGTTAGCTCACCGGGACCAAAAATAAGGCAAACAACACAGACTTCAACAGGTTTAACAGACAAATTTTAATTAAAACTACATACCAGATGCAAAAGCTTCTTGGTAAGTTTATTACATTAAAAATTTGATATAACAAATTGTTAGGGACCTCTAATTTCACTTATCATAACTTATGGTCAGTATATGCATTTTGACTAGATATAAGGCAAGTGGTCAGGACAGGAATTTCAGCTGGTTATAAGCATGTTTATTATAGACAGTTCATTGTACATAGGTAGTGATACATTACTGGTTAGAATTAATTATCAAACAAATTTTCTCATTGTCATTAGATCATATGGAATGGTAATCTATCGCAGCTGTATCAATAGTAACTGAATGGTACATGACATTTTGAGGATCAGTGTGTAGAACGTGGTACCAGTGTTGAGGCAAGCAGCCAGATGGAATGTGGAAAAGTCAGGGATAATGACTGAGATTATCTATGTTACAGTGTAATGCTACCTGTGGGTACATTGTCTAGAAGAGGGATGTAGAATGTCAGGGATAATGACTGAGATATCTATGTTACAGTGTAACGCTACCTGTGGGTACATTGTCTAGAAGAGGGATGTGGAATGTCAGGGATAATGACTGAGATATCTGTGTTACAGTGTAATGCTACCTGTGGGTACATTGTCTAGAAGAGGGATGTGGAATGTCAGGGATAATGACTGAGGTATCTATGTTACAGTGTAACGCTACCTGTGGGTACATTGTCTAGAAGAGGGATGTGGAATGTCAGGGATAATGACTGAGATATCTGTGTTACAGTGTAATGAAGACCTGTGATAATGACTGAGATACATTGTCTAGAAGCTACCTGTGGGGATGTCTAGGAATGTCAGGGATAATGACTGAGATATCTGTGTTACAGTGTAACGCCACCTGTGGGTACATTGTCTAGAAGAGGGATGTGGAATGTCAGGATAATGACTGAGATATCTGTGTTACAGTGTAACGCCACCTGTGGGCATGCTGTCTAGAAGAGGGATGTGGAATGTCAGGGATAATGACTGAGATATCTGTGTTACAGTGTAACGCTACCTGTGGGTACACTGTCTAGAAGAGGGATGTGGAATGTCAGGGATAATGACTGAGATATCTGTGTTACAGTGTAACGCTACCTGTGGGTACACTGTCTAGAAGAGGGATGTGGAATGTCAGGGATAATGACTGAGATATCTGTGTTACAGTGTAACGCTACCTGTGGGTACATTGTCTAGAAGAGGGATGTGGAATGTCAGGATAATGACTGAGATATCTATGTTACAGTGTAACGCTACCTGTAGAAGAGGGGTACATGAGATACCTGTGTTCAGTAGAAGACCTGTGGGATGTGGAATGTCAGGATAATGACTGAGATACCTGTGTTACAGTGTAACGCTGTACCTGTGGGTACATTGTCTAGAAGAGGGATGTGGAATGTCAGGGATAATGACTGAGATACCTGTGTTACAGACCTGTGGGTACGCTGTCTAGAAGAGGGATGTGGAATGGGTACTGAGCTGTGTCTAGAAGAGGGATGTGGAATGTCAGGGATAATGACTGAGATACCTGTGTTACAGTGTAACGCTACCTGTGGGTACATTGTCTAGAAGAGGGATGTGGAATGTCAGGGATAATGACTGAGATACCTGTGTTACAGTGTAACGCTACCTGTGGGTACATTGTCTAGAAGAGGGATGTGGAATGTCAGGGATAATGACTGAGATACCTGTGTTACAGTGTAACGCTACCTGTGGGTACATTGTCTAGAGAGAGGGATGTGGAATGTCAGGATAATGACTGAGATACCTGTGTTACAGTGTAACGCTACCTGTGGGTACGCTGTCTAGAAGAGGGATGTGGAATGTCAGGTCTGAGATAGAAGAGGGATGTGGAATGTCATGGGATAATGACTGAGATACCTGTGTTACAGTGTAACGCTACCTGTGGGTACATTGTCTAGAAGAGGGATGTGGAATGTCAGGGATAATGACTGAGATACCTGTGTTACAGTGTAACGCTACCTGTGGGTACATTGTCTAGAAGAGGGATGTGGAATGTCAGGGATAATGACTGAGATACCCTGTGTTACAGTGTAATAATGCTGAGATACCCTGTGGGTACATTGTCTAGAAGAGGGATGTGGAATGTCAGGGATAATGACTGAGATACCTGTGTTACAGTGTAACGCTACCTGTGGGTACATTGTCTAGAAGAGGGATGTGGAATGTCAGGGATAATGACTGAGATACCTGTGTTACAGTGTAACGCTACCTGTGGGTACATTGTCTAGAAGAGGGATGTGGAATGTCAGGGATAATGACTGAGATACCTGTGTTACAGTGTAACGCTACCTGTGGGTATGCTGTCAAGAAGAGGGATGTGGAATGTCAGGGATAATGACTGAGATACCTGTGTTACAGTGTAACGCTACCTGTGGGTACATTGTCTAGAAGAGGGATGTGGAATGTCAGGGATAATGACTGAGATACCTGTGTTACAGTGTAACGCTACCTGTGGGTATGCTGTCAAGAAGAGGGATGTGGTGTGCATGAAGAAACTAGGCAACAAGCTACACACCATTGTGTCAGAGGTCAACTGTGTGGCTGAACATTGTGTCAGAGGTCAACTGTGTGGCTGAACAACGACCAATCAGTGAAGAGGCATGCCAGGAATTATCACCATGCCAACCAGAGTGGTACATGACGCCATGGGGACAGGTAGGACATGACAGCAATAGGGTACATGACATTGTGATCGAAATGGGGTGGGTGACATCATAGGAACAGGTAAGACATTACAGCAAACGGAGTAAAGGGCACTGTAGAATATCAGGACATTTTATGTCATGGCTTACAACAAATCTGAGTTTATTTCCTTACCTTGAGTTGTTCTTGCTGTTCACAGTGCAAACCCTAAACTTCCCTGTGTTACTGTGTTTACCAAAATTGTCCATGTATTATCAAAATAAAATAATTGTCCCTGTGTAACAGTGTTAGTTCACTGTTACAGTGTTAGCCCTAAAATGGTCCATGTGTTATCAAAATAAAATAATTGTCCCTGAGTTACAGTGTTAGCCCTAATCATCTCTGAGTTACAGTGTTAGCCCTAATCATCCCTGAGTTACAGTGTTAGCCCTAATCATCCCTGAGTTACAGTGTCAGCCCTAATCATCCCTGAGTTACAGTGTTAGCCCTAATCATCCCTGAGTTACAGTGTTAGCCCTAATCATCCCTGAGTTAAAGTGTTAACCATTATCAGTTACAGTGTACACTAATCATCAATGCTACAGTGTTAACCCTATCGCCCTCTGTTACAGTGTTCAGCCAGTTGCGGTACTGGTGTGAAGACCCGCGAGGTCAAGTGCCTGGACAGCAACCTTCAGTCCAGCCCAGAATGTCGTGGGTCAGTCCGACCCAGCGAGAGACAAGCCTGTAACAAGCACTCCTGTAGAACCCATAAACCCTCTGCCATCACAGCGGCCAACATCCACATTCAGAAGGATGCAGGAGGGGGTGAGGGGCAGATGCATTGTCACATCTTCATTCTGTATGAGTCAGAGGGGCAACCTGGTGCTTAAGTGTTCACTTGCCACACTTGACCAGCTCCTATTAGCTCAGTCAGAGGACATGTAGCTCTGTGGTCCCATTGAGGGCATGTAGCTCTGTGGTTCCATATGGACATGTAGCTCTGTGGTCCTGTTGAGGATATGGAGCTGTGTGGTCCAACAGCTGTCTGAGGACATATAGCTCTGTGGTCCCATTGAGGATATTCAGCTCTATGGTTCAATAGCTGTCTGAGGACATGAAGTTCTGTGGTCCCATATGGATATGTAGCTCTGTCACCCAACAGCTGTGTGAGGACATGTAGAGCTGTCGCCCAACAGCTGATTGAGGACATGTAGCGCTGTGGTCCAACAGCTGTGTGAGGACATGTAGCTGTGGTCCAATAGCCAACAGCTGAGGACATGTAGCTCTGTGGTCCCAGCTATGGACATGTAGCTCTGTGGTCCAATAGCTGTGTGAGGACATGTAGCTCTTTGGTCCCATATGGACATGTAGCTCTGTGGTCCAATAGCTCTGTGTTGCCATTGAGGACATGTAACTCTGTGGTCCAACAGCTGTGTGAGGACATGTAGCTCTTTGGTGCCATTGAGGACATGTAGCTCTGTGTTGCCATTGAGGACATGTAACTCTGTGGTCTAACAGCTGTGTGAGGACATGTAGCTCTGTGGTGCCATTGAGGACATGTAGCGCTGTGGTCCAACAGCTGTGTGAGGACATGTAGCTCTGTGGTCCAATAGCTGTGTGAGGACATGTAGCTCTGTGGTCCAATAGCTGTGTGAGGACATGTAGCTCTGTGGTCCAACAGCTGTGTGAGGACATGTAGCTCTCTGGTCCAATAGCTGTCTGAGGACATGTATCTCTGTGATGCCATGGACATGTAGCTCTGTTGTCCAACAGCTGTGTGAGGACATGTAGCTCTGTGGTCCAATAGCTCTGTGTTGCCATTGAGGACATGTAACTCTGTGGTCCAACAGCTGTGTGAGGACATGTAGCTCTGTGGTGCCATTGAGGACATGTAGCTCTGTGTTGCCATTGAGGACATGTAACTCTGTGGTCTAACAGCTGTGTGAGGACATGTAGCTCTCTGGCTAGCTGTGGTGCCATTGAGGACATGTAGCGCTGTGGTCCAACAGCTGTGTGAGGACATGTAGCTCTGTGGTGCCACTGAGGACATGTAGCTCTGTGTTGCCATTGAGGACATGTAGCGCTGTGGTCCAACAGCTGTGTGAGGACATGTAGCTCTGTGGTGCCATTGAGGACATGTAGCGCTGTGGTCCAACAGCTGTGTGAGGACATGTAGCTCTGTGGTGCCATTGAGGACATGTAGCGCTGTGTTCCAACAGCTGTGTGAGGACATGTAGCTCTGTGGTGCCATTGAGGACATGTAGCGCTGTGGTTCAACAGCTGTGTGAGGACATGGTACCAAATCGGCCCCATATGAAGTGATGAGATCCCACTCCCTTGATCAAGTAACAAGTACAAATGCAAATGTCAAATTACATTTTTGGCTGCTTTACAGTAATCATACATTCAATGTTCAAACAATATCAAGCCATTGTAAGAAAGTAATATGTATATTTTCGTATTTTCAGCCGGTGACTGCCAAGATCACGACACGATCCGATGTCTCTACTTGAAGCAGTCGCGACTATGCAAATACCCTTTTTACAAACAGATGTGTTGCAAGTCATGTCAAGACTATGTGTCTGGGAAGCACCACTAGTCAGAGAAACAACCTTCGATACCTGTTCTCTGTGTGCTGTTGGGTGTACAAAATATATACAGCAGAAGACAGTTTGTGATAATTATTTCTTCTCCTGAATATTGTCCAGCAGCTAGATTTATGAAATCTGGTCCAACTGGACTTGCCATGGAATGATTTGATGCAGTTCACAAGAAGTGAATATTGTCTTTGTTGGTGAGTGAGTGACCACACACCTCAGTCATGAGTTACGAGTATGTTATAATGGCAACGTTTGACTGTGCTGTAAGACGGCTCCAGGTTCTTAGAAGGAATAGGAAGACGTATCTATCAGCTACAGCTACGTTATCACTGAATGACAAATCAACTAGCAACTACTTACAAAGAGGTTAATGCTAGATGTATACAAATGAGATATGAATGAAAAATATGTTTGTATTTTGTATTTAAACTCTGATACATAAGCATTTATTTGTACATTTGGCAGTGTCCCTGTATTAAAGAAGATGGGATGTGCCTCATATTGGGAGATTCCATTATGAAGGAAATACAATATTTCAATAGCTGAACCTTGTTATTATGCCAGACTGACTATGTATGAAATGTTTTACGATCTATAAACCACATACCCTTTTCTTGGAATGGAACATTTAACATTGAAGTTACTGTGAATGGAAGACATTTCATTGGAGGTCTGTGTTTTCTGTGCATGGAACACAGAAGAGTGGAAGCGTCTACGCTTTCTGTGAATGGAACACAGAAGAGTGGAAGCGTCTGCGCTTTCTGTGCAAGGAACACAGAAGAGTGGAAGCGTCTGTGGTTTCTGTGAATGGAACACAGAAGAGTGGAAGCGTCTGCGGTTTCTGTGAATGGAACACAGAAGAGTGGAAGCATCTGCGGTTTCTGTGTATGGAACACAGAAGAGTGGAAGCGTCTGTGGTTTCTGTGAATGGAACACAGAAGAGTGGAAGCGTCTGTGGTTTCTGTGAATGAAACAATCCGTCATACATCTGTGAATAGAACAGTCTATCATAGCAGTAACTTTACTCCCTGTGAGTATGTGACTGGAGAAGTTCATAAACTCAATGTGAAGGACAGAAACCTAGAGTTAATGGCTATTTCATCTGTCTATCTTGAAACACCTATGATTCCTATCATTTAGAAATTCAATTCTATACAAACTGAGTTTACAGTTTGGCATGAAAATATCTTAAACTTATTTTATCACTACTGTCTGTTTTCAAATTTCACCATGTGTCATATATAATTGTCCTCTCCAGGCTGATATTTATGGTCTGAAAACTCAGCATAAGACAAACAGTTTGTGATTAGGAGTTTGGACATCTCAGCATAAGACAAACAGTTTGTGATTGGGAGTTTGGGCATCTCAGCATAAGACAAACAGTTTGTGATTGGGAGTTTGGACATCTCAGCATAAGACAACTAGTTTACAACTAGGGGCTTGGACATCTCTGACAACTAGTTTGTGAGGGAGAGCTTGGACTCAGAGTACTAGTTTGTGAGTGGGAAACGCTGTGTTTCCTCCATGTATTCCTTATAGCCAGCCATGTTGTGGATCTGCCTGGGAGCCAGGACCATGTGTGTATATACAGCTGTGTTAATGGATCTGTCAAGCTGTAGAATGTTGACACTAGATAAGGTAATAATTACAAGCATTTTGACTTTTCATTTATGAAAGCATTGTAGTCGTGAATGTGTAGCATGAATAGTCATGTGATGTAAATGTGGAGCATGAAAAATGACATGCCATAAATCAGTGGAGCATCAAAGATAATGTGGTGTAAATGTGGAGCATGGAAGGTGACATGGTGTAAATTTGGAGCATGGAAGGTGACATGGTGTAAATGTGGAGCATGGAAGGTGACATGGTGTAAATGTGGAGCATGGAAGATAACATGGTGTAAATGTGGAGCATGGAAGATAACATGGTGTAAATGTGGAGCATGGAAGATAACATGGTGTAAATGTGGAGCATGGAAGATAACATGGTGTGAATGTGGAGCATGGAAGATAACATGGTGTAAATGTGGAGCATGGAAGATAACATGGTGTGAATGTGGAGCATGGAAGATAACATGGTGTAAATGTGGAGCATGGAAGATAACATGGTGTGAATGTGGAGCATGGAAGATAACATGGTGTAAATGTGGAGCATGGAAGATAACATGGTGAATGTGAGCATGGAAGATAACATGGTGTAAATGTGGAGCATGGAAGATAACATGGTGTAAATGTGGAGCATGGAAGATAACATGGTGTAAATGTGGAGCATGGAAGATAACGTGGTGTAAATGTGGAGCATGGAAGATAACATGGTGTAAATGTGGAGCATGGAAGATAACGTGGTGTAAATGTGGAGCATGGAAGATAACATGGTGTAAATGTGGAGCATGGAAGATAACATGGTGTAAATGTGGAGCATGGAAGATAACATGGTGTAAATGTGGAGCATGGAAGATAACATGGTGTAAATGTGGAGCATGGAAGATAACATGGTGTAAATGTGGAGCATGGAAGATAACATGGTGTAAATGTGGAGCATGGAAGATAACATGGTGTAAATGTGGAGCATGGAAGATAACATGGTGTAAATGTGGAGCATGGAAGATAACATGGTGTAAATGTGGAGCATGGAAGATAACATGGTGTAAATGTGGAGCATGGAAGATAACATGGTGTAAAATGTGGAGCATGGAAGATGGGCATGGTGTAAATGGAGCATGGAAGATAACATGGTGTAAATGTGGAGCATGGAAGATAACATGGTGTAAATGTGGAGCATGGAAGATAACGTGGTGTAAATGTGGAGCATGGAAGATAACATGGTGTAAATGTGGAGCATGGAAGGTGACATGAATGAGTGAGTCTTGTGATGTAAATGTGGAGCGTGGATGGTTTTGTGATGTAAATGTGGAGCGTGGATGGTCTTGTGATGTAAATGTGGAGCATGGATGGTCTTGTGATGTAAATGTGGAGCATGGATGGTCTTGTGATGTAAATGTGGAGCATGGATGGTCTTGTGATGTAAATGTGGAGCCTGGATGATCTTGTGATGTAAATGTGGAGTGTGTTCATGGTCTAGTGATGTAAATGTGGAGCGTGGATGATCTTGTGATGTAAATGTGGAGCATGGATGGTCTTGTGATGTAAATGTGGAGCATGGATGGTCTTTCGATGTAAATGTGGAGTGTGGATGGTCTTGTGATGTAAATGTGGAGCATGGATGGTCTTGTGATGTAAATGTGGAGCGTGGATGATCTTGTGATGTTAATGTCATTTGAGACTAGTTGTTTATTGAAATGTTATCCATATAGTTTCATAGCACCTTGTACAACAAACACATGAGACACAGTGTAGATGGACATCATTCAGTCCTTCCTACTCAATCGGAACTACTTATGACAACACAGGTGTACCAGTGTTGGACACTCACAACAAGCTGTTTCCCCTGCTCCAGTACATTAGCAGTAGTCAATGATTGTTGAAGGCTCTGTTGCTAGTTTCTCTGACTGAAAGCACATACCAGTACTTGCTTGAACTCAAATTCTGGTGTCAAACATTGTAAGCCTAATATTGTACATTGTGATAGGTATTTTAAGGTACCTGTATATTGTAAATTGTGATAGGTATTTTAAGGTACCTGTATAGTGTACATTGTGATAGGTATTTTAAGGTACCTGTATATTGCACATGAAAGCTGACAATCAAACTGTATTTAAAATTTTGTCCAAAATTTCATAGGGAATAAGTACAAAACTACAGATTAATAAACAACATTAAATATTAATGTTATTATTTCATTACAGCATTACTTGGACCTCAAGACCCCAGTCTGGAGAGTAATGGAGCCGATTCTTCACATCATGATTCAGTGCCCATCACCAGTAGACTTGCAATCTGTTTATGATTCATCAGCCAGTTTCTTTTAGTTTACACTGAGTTCCTAGCAATGTCTGAGGGTTGGGATTGCCAAGTCTTCGAGGGGGTTGCAACTTTCTATCTAGAGTTGTATTATATTTGATGCCAGAATCCAATGATTGTGGGTTTGAATCCCAGATTACCCATCATTCATTATGATTCTGGGTTTGTTAGTGTCACACCATGGGTCTCATGGTAAAACTCTTAAGACCTTACTAAAGACTTCCACCTTGTAGTTTGCTGACTTTCAATTATTAAACAAATTGTACAAGTCGGTGTTGGACCCAGTTCACTCCTTCAGCAAAGTGAATTGTGAGGCTGCCAGCACCCTTTTGCAATTCCAGATTAGGGCTTTAATTAGAGAATAATAGGAACTGTACACAGGCTGTGAATAGTCAAATTCAACTCTTCTGAGATTTGTGTGAAGTAGTATTTGTGATTCAGGGATGAAAAACCATACTAAGAATGAGAAATTTGATGGGTTTCAGGGGACAACCGAGTTAGCAGCTGTGTTAACAACTATATAGGGCACATGCATGCTCGACAGTTCACTCAGTGAAACTGATTTAGACTTATGTCCAAGAAACTGTGATCATGTGGTCTTCATAACAGGCAGCGTGATACACAGGATCCTCCAGCTTAAATGTCCAATGTTTTATATCAGAAACCATTTGGGGATAGATTGGAAGTTAACTCTGTTGCTGTATTTGTCAGTTTTCAAAGTTCATTGAATGGGTTTTATGTAACCATGTGTCCAGTGCCAGCTGCATACCACACACTACAAACCTAACTGCTGTCTGACGCCACACTCAGGGTGTGTTGATATCTGTACAAAAAACGAAACAAACTTATAAGATCAGGTATTTCAAAGTTCTGATTTTGATGCGGTTGATAAAATTATTCTTCCTATTTCATCCTTGAATTTCTTCATTATTCTGGAGAGGATGAAGTGTGTACCACTGTCAAAGATGTAACTATAAATGTTTGAAAATATAATGTTATGACTGATACGGGTAATTAGTGCCTATCATTAAGCCTACAAGATCTCTTCACAATGGTCCAGTTTGTAATGAGACAAAATACAAGTAGCTCCCATAAGGAGGAGGATTGTTTCTTCAGCAAACAAATGTTTGCCATGAAGGGGTCATAGCTATTGCTTTGAAATTTGAATTTTTATTCACAATTTACCGGTACTTACAATTCAAATATTTTTGTTTTATTGAAGTATATGATCTTATCAGACAGCTACTGTGTTCACCATCTCACAAAGTTCTCTTATTGTGAGAGGAATGGTTTTCAATAATGCTACTTCATGAACCGAAGTGTTGATGATGTTGAGAACCTCCCATTCTCTCATGTTACTACATGTTTATCATGTTAATCTGTGAAGGCAGGGGATTCTCTAACTTCTGTTGAGCAGTATATGTATACAGCTACATGTTCCAGCATCTGTCTGGCGGTGGGGTAGCCTAATGGTTAAAGCGTTGGCTCGTCACGCCGAAGACCCGGGTTCGAATCCCCACATGGGCACAATGTGTGAAGCCCCCGCTGTGATGTTGCTGGAATATTGCTAAAAGCGGCGTAAAACCAAACTCAGTCAGTCAGTCCAGCATCTGTCTACAGGCCTACTGGACTGACAGAATTAGAAATATTCAAAACAATTCTCACATTTGTTCAGGTTTACGTTGTATTTTTGTAAACCATACAATGCATATTACTAGCAGTAGCAATGAGATATAGAGAGATGTGACTGGAGGCTCCAGCTGTTGTACCTACATGTTGTTACATCACAGTTTGTTGTTTACCTTCAGTGTTTGCTGTACAAGATATATTTACTCATTGGAAAAACATAGGTATAAAGAAAGATGAAATCCTTTATTCTTCTCCACTTATTGATGACAATCATTGTGGTATAGCCAATACATGCCCCTGTGGGCTTCCTCACTGTGGTATAGCCAATACATGCCCCTGTGGGCTTCCTCACTGAGGCATTCAGTCAGCTTAGTTTCATAGGGCCTGGCATCAAATGGTGTTGACAAAGCTTATTATATACTGAGCTTTTGTCATCTTAGCAGAACAGATGATGTCTTTTTTCTGAGACTGTTTCCAATAAATGGCAAATAATAAAAATGGCAGAATAGCTATTTGTGAAGAGTAACGTAATCATTCCAAGTGTTAGGTGAAACTCGAGGCCTTATTAAAAACTTCCCTTTACATGTGTGGACAGTAGGTTCCTCTCGCCATGGAAACTGTTATACACAAACAAGGATGTCCCCTGAATATGTTGTAAAATATCATGTCAACTTAAGCTTACAGGGATTTCCAGAACACAGAAGACAGCCTGACATTTACAGTTAGCTCTGCTGCCAATGTTTAGATGTTACTGTGCCAAACATGTTTAATCATTTCATGAATGGTGGAAGTTATAAAAAATATCTTTGAACAATGCCTGTTTAAGAGCATTAAATTTGTGAAGGGTTAGGTGTCCAGGAACAACACATGCCAGAGTGAAAACCCTTTTCCAAATAATTAAGCCCCCTGTGAAACAGGAACTGCTTGGTTTGTTTGTGTAGATGGGTTTGTTGCCCTTGCATCTCCCATAACTGGCATCTCATACACATTTAGGGGATTCTAATACTTTAGTGCAACAGTATTTTAATTTTTTTATGATTTATTTTTATAGTCAGTGTTAATTGTCACTCAAACTCAATCTGGCTTTAAAGTCAAGGTTAATCCTTTTTGTAATTTGAAGTAACAGGTCCAAATAATCTAATCCAATACTAATGGGACAGTTGATTTGAGGCAAACGTTACAGTGAATATAGGATAAGGTCAGACCAATTTTATATCTTGTTTTATGGATTTCTGTCCTCAGAAAACCTTAAGGCAGGAGGGAATAAATAAAAAATAAAAATCACTAGTCAAAGTAATATTCCCTTGCATACTAAAAGTATTTTATTTTTGGCAAGTAATGAAGTGTATATGGGGCAAAAAACAATCAAAATATATTTTTGTAAGTTTAAATTCTTTGCCAATAAAAGCATGAGGATTTTATTTTTGGAGCGGGAAAAATGAATATGTATTTTTTTTCTTATTCATGAAAAAATATGGCCGGCGGATCCGTAAAACAAGAAATAAAATTGGTCTGGCCTAAATAAGATAAATAAAAGAGCATTTCGGACACAGCACCATGATGTGTTGCCCCAGCTGACATGTAGGTGTTACAATTGGTGTCCACTTTCACAGGGTCACAAGGGCAATCAAACTTTAATCCATGGATGTACTTCCTAATTTTGAACTTACAAATTGGATTTTGAAGGATCTGAATCAAATCTGCTAGCCCCATTTGACAAAGCTATGTTCATTAATGATCAATTCCAGAATGTGTTCCACCTTGTTCCCCATGTGACTGGTTGTATCAATGGCTGACTTTCAAATAGCTTTGATTACTGATATTTTATACATATTCAGGGGTCATATGTTCATAAAGTTGATTCAAAGAACAGTTTTGAGGAATTCATGAAATGGAGGCGATGACACTGCATCTGTGTTAGCTTCCATTGCAAACACATTTCTTGTTAACAAAGTTCCAGTGAATCATTTTCTACATGGCCAGTTGATATATTTGGCCTGACTCAATACAGAAGTGAAACATTTCATCTACTGTCTATAGGATATTGTACTTCAACTGTTGTGTGACTCTCAGTTTTCAAGTATAATTCGAAAGGTGCTAAATCATCAAATATTGCATGTTACAAGAAATACATGTATACTTTGTAAAATATATATTATATGTATCGTCACAAGTTATACCACTGTTTATTTGTTAGAATGAAATATTCAGTGAATAGTATATCTTCATTAAATATTGTACTTACTGCTGAAAATATTTTTTTACAGAAAATATGAGAATTGTTTGAAATGGAGAATTTATTTCCAAGAAGTGAATTCTTACAGATTTTTGTCTCTGTACTAAGAAACGAAATATTTTTTGTACAGATCTTTTCAGCATTGTAAAAATGTTTTACTTAAAGAATATCAGTGTAATGCACATGTAGTGGTGTATCTGTTTATTGATTAAGAGGGTAGAATGAATCTGGTGCGACTCTGGCAGAATTTACAGAATTTAGATTTATATAACTGTATGTACATCGTGTTGTGGAGTTCGATTTGTTGACAAGTAGACAAAATAAGTCAAAAGTAAACTGAAAGACTGAAAGTAATGCAGATTTCAGCTATGAGATTTCAGGGGTAGCCTAGTGGTTAAAGAGTTGAGAAGACCGGGTTCGAATCCCCACATGGGTACATTGTGAAGCCCATTTCTGGTCCCCCTGTGATGTTGCTGGAATATTGCTGAGTCAGTCAGTCAGTCCTTTGGCCTGAATGATTACAAGTTTGGAGGAGTTATGCCCCTTACATCAAGGAAGATGCTTGTTCATTTCCAAACAAGTTTCGAGCTCTTTCAGTTATCAGAGTAGAGGAATATTTGGTACGTACTTGACTAATGTGATGATGAATGTCAGAGAAAATTTATCATAATAGAAGAAAATTTACATTTTATACAAAAATGGTTTCTTATTCATGTCCGTTAAATTTTTTAAAATGTGCTTTTCAAATTCTCAGTTATCAACCACAGTTTTGCTGGTATTGTGTTTTCTTTCTATCAGTGTCAAGTTTCTCCAGTAGTTTTTCATGATGATGTTGCTATGTTTGAAGATGCTACTGATCCAGTGGTGAGGTATGTGTTGTGTGCTGTAGATGCGTGTCTGTGAGTTAGGGTATATGGTATAAATATTCACGTGTATGTTGTCAGCAGGTGCCTCTGTGTAATTATGATGTAAGCTAAATAAAGCTTTGCTAATTATACCTTTGTGTTGGCTTGTTATTCAATGGCTTTGGATGGAATGATTTGTACACAATATGGGGACATTGGTGGCCCAGTCAACTAAAGAACTGCAATATACATGCCCTCATACTACTTATAATACTTATTGATATCTACAAATCTAATGTTACTCTATAGACACGTACACACAGGCATGAACACTCTCTCTCTTTTAGAGACCATCCATAAGTTAAGGCTAGGGGATGATGATGTTTTTATGGAGGAGCATGTACAATGTGAATGACCCCCCCATAATAATTATGTCCAAAGTAAGCAACACCCACCCACCAACCCCTGCATGTCATGTATAAAATCAATGACACCCCCCACCCCCCCCACCCCCACCACCACATTACACACACACACACACCCCACCCCCCCCCCACATGTTTAAGCATAATTATCCACCACAACGCATTTTCCATCCGTGCCTTCTCTCGTCCGTGCACATGTCTTTTCCGGAGCATAACTTTAAATCCATTTAATATTTCTTCACCTAGCTTGCCACATAGATAGATCTGATGGTCTTTTTGTAGTTTTGGATTTCTGAATAATATAGTTTTGGTGTTTCCATGGCAACAAGTTTGAAAGACTGAAATTGTGGTAGTGCTCTTTTCCAGAGCAGAACTCTAAAACCAGTCAATGTTTCTTCACCAAACATGGCACATAGATAGATCTGGTGGTGAACTGGTGCCTTTTGGTAGTTTTGGATTTCTGAATAGAATATTTTTGGCGTTTCCATGACAACAATTTTGGCTTCAACTGAATTTAGTGGTAGTGCTCCTTTGGAGAGAACTGAACCTTACAAATTGTTCACTGATTTCATAATCATATAGGTAAGTCAAGTGAACTGGTGCCTTTTGGTAGTTTTGGATTTCTGAATAAAATATTTTTTGTGTTTCCATGGCAACAATTTTGGCTTCAACTGAATTTAGTGGTAGTGCTCCCTTCTGGAGCAGAACTTTGAAACCTTTCAGTACTCTCCTTCCACTTTGCTGCATACACACCAAAACATTTGACATAATCATAACTTGTAGGCATATTCATGAAGAATATGTTGCCATTGAGGGGGATACTCATGACTTTGTCTTCTTGTCTATAAATATTTTAAATGAACAAAATTGTTAACTCATCCTAGTACATGTGTACAAAATTGACCTTTTGAGCGATGGTTCCCTTAATGAGGCCTAAATAAGGAAAAGCATATATATAATGTTAGACACTTTTAAGGGTTTAAGAGACATTCTTCAGTACAGTATATTTTTAACTAACCATCTCTTTATATTCAGATATATTGTCTGAGATAGTAGTAAGTAAAGTTTAAAGAGGGATTAACAATTAATTGTTAATTCAAAAAGTTCAAAATATATAATAGAACATTAATTTAATTTAATTATTGTATGTGCATGTACTTGTGTTGCATCTCTCTTCTTTACTGAAATCAGAAAATCATTACTTTATTTGCAGATATACATGCAGATAATGGTTGACACCCATACCTGATTCCTAGAATCTACCAGAAGAAAGATACAAAAGTGCCCATGTGAGGACCCCCAATGGATAAGAATATGTTATATTGTATTACAATGTATTAATGTATTCAAGGAGTTAATGAAACCTTGCTGGCAGCCGCATTTTTACATTTTGGGAAGTATATAATAAATTTGAAATTTACCGATAACATACATTTTGAACCAAAACACACAACATGGTTCACCTGATAATTAGTGAGTGAGTATGTGTTGTCGCTGCTGTTAGCACTATTCCAGCAATATCACAGCCTGGACAACAGAAATGGGATTCACACATTGTACCATGTGGGCAATCGAACTGGGGCCTTCAGCATGACAAGGGAACGCCCTAACCACTAATTATAAGCTAGCCAACTGCCCCTCACTTGACAAAATGATGGATTAAAACATTTTAACCTGCAGTGTGTACTTGTACGTTATGTGTGTATGTCTTTTCATACAGTGATGATAAATAATAACACCATTTACCACACCATTTACCACACAAATACAGTACATTGTTTCTATCTTCCAGATTTTAGTAGTTTTACGTGTTTGTGAGTAAGATTAATTCGGTGACAACGATTTTACATCCGCTTCTCTCTGATACAAGGTGTAAAATCTTTAGTTCAACTTACAGGCTTAACTTTATGTTCTCTTTTATTTTTGTTCGTCGCCGTGTTTGGGAAAGCTGAGAAAATCATGTTACGGTGATACTTCCCTCCATCAGTAATAATCTCTATTTCCTTACTGCTGAAATCGCTCTTCCTCACACGTTGTGGCTTAGTCAGGGAAGTCATTTTACAACCTCTTCTGTCGTCTGCGCGATTATCCGAGCGGCGAAGGGAAATACTAAGGGAACTACCTATCTAGATTGCAAAAGAGTGAGTGAGTTTAGTTTTACGCCGCACTCAGCAATATTCCAGCTATATGGGGGCGGTCTGTAAATAATCGAGTCTGGACCAGACAATCCAGGAATCAACAGCATGAACATCGATCTACGCAATTGGGATACGATGACATGTGTCAACCCAGTCATCGAGCCTGACCACACGATCCGGTTGGTCGCCTCTTACGACAAGCATGGGTTGCTGAAGACTAGCCGAGAGCCGCGATGCGGTCCTATACAGTCAAGACATGACCCTGCATCACGGCCGAGAGCTCGCTATCGTTGAAACAAGAACTCAACGGGTTTCAGGCCCATTAATATCTAAATGTATGATCACAAAAATATGACAGTTACGTGTATGTATAGGGAATTTATCTGGGAGTACATCGATGTCGACTTTTCAGTCAAAAACCCACAGGAAATATATTTTAAAAATCTCAAGAAAATACGAGGGGTAATCGGCCACTAGAATCTGAATAGGATTTATGAAGGTGGTGTTCTCGGCCGTGATGCAGGGTCATGTCTTGACTGTATAGGACCGCATCGCGGCTCTCGGCTAGCTGAAGACCAATTCTAACCCGGACCTTCACGGGTAGATTGCAAAAGAGCTCTGACATAGTTCTTAGAGCGTTAGTGGGAAAGATATTCCTTACCACGACCCAAGGGCGATTTGAGAAGCAAGCGTAAATATTTTTCAGGGCACTCTTGACAACCTCGTAGCTGGTAAGTGTGCAAAGGTGGGCAATGTACAAGCGGTTCTTGATCTTTACTAGGCTACTAATGAAATAGACAGGCTACTCAGTTGTCACATACATATCATTGTCAAAATCATCCCTCCTCAAATAAACAAGCGGTGTAAAGTCTTCGTGAACAGCTCATGCAATCCGTCAAACATCGGTTTCCAGCATGCGGCCTTACCGCCAAGTTACCGGAGGTTGGTTGGGACAACCTTGGGCCTGAAAAGCCCTATATGTGTCCAACACTTAAACTATTAAATTATCCTCTGGTATAATGTTAATTGTAAAAATGGTTTCGGTTTTGTTAACTTTGAGAGCCTCTAATGGTTTTCCATGAGCTGGACATCCAATGAGATAGTGCTGAACCGTTTCTGGGCAGTTTAAGTTACAGCATTCACACAGAGGACAGGCGCGTAGCAAGCCAATTTTTTCGTGTAAGCCCGATAGGTTGCAAATCTTTATATTTAGATAGTAATGAGGGCTTGCCCAACCTTTTTAGCAACAATCATGTGTAAGCCCGAGCTTTTTTTTACAATGGTAGCTACGCACCTGGAGGAGAGATGTCTTTATCTGAAATACTTCTATACACACAGAGGAGACAGATTGTCAAGAAGGCAATCTCTGATTTTGAAACTGCAGCATGGCACTAACATGTCGACGCCGATCCTAAAATGAGACATTTCTTGAAAATCCACCCTGTGCTGGTCCCACCCAGAGCCTGGTTCAATGCCCGACAATTTCCACATCTTAAACAGCAATGCAATTTTGTTGTTAAGCTATGTGCATCATGGCGCCCAGGAGGTGCACAAGACATATGTGAGCTGTGTCAATCACACTTCAAAGACAAACTCACCCATACCATCTGTCACTGTACAGATCAGATGAGTGAACAAGATAAACTGTGGCTTGAAATCTCAAGCATTGGTCAAAGAGCTGGGAGTGAACCTGCTCAACCAACCTGACGAGGATGAGGTATGCTGTCTTCTATCATGCACTCCATGTGTCCACTTGAATGACACAGACAACGCCATCTACTCTTCTCTGGTCGTTCAAGAATTGTACAGAATGTGTGCATACACCCAACCTACCTTATCGTAAAGTGAGGTAAATCCAAACTCATCTAAACCAGTGCTGCTCCAATAACTCGGATGTTTTCTTTTCAAATACC